GCGTGTGGAAATATTCTTCGACTGTATAAAAACAATGAGTTAAAATATGTTTCCTTATTGCGGACTTAAATGATTTTGCATTTTCACCCATTAACCTTATACCACTAGTGAGTTTTTCGTTGACTTTGCTAGCCTGTGATTTGGTACTCTTAGATGATTAGCATTCCTTGTCATATAATTATGGACATCTGAATTTGTCACGAGGTTCGTTCTATTCCTATTAATTTCCAACAGTGAAACAACTTTTGAAAATTGGTTTACAGTGGTCTCTGAAACCGAAACCAGCACCGGCTACGATCTTGACATTACGTTTCTGCAAACGAAAAATGTTTACTCAAATTGCGTAGCACGAATATTGTGCTTGAGAGTTTTCGGGATAATTCTTGAACATGACAAGACCAATTCAGTTTATCATCGATGACCAAACCAAGCAGCTTGACACTATCACCTTTAACAATGTTATTGTTCGTTGAGAAAATGAGATTTTGTGTTTTATCGTCATTGAGTTTGAGATTATTGGAAGTAAACCATTTTTTAGCACGAGTAGTAGTTGTAGAACTATTCACCTTCAGATCATCAATATCCGAGCTAGCATCAACCAAGGTTGTGTCGTCTGCGAAAGCAACACAAGTCTTCGGATGCATGTTATGAAACATATCATTTACGTAAATAATGAACAAGAGAGGATCTAACACAGAGCCTTGTGGTACTCCATGTATAACTGATCTGTATTCAGATGATGGATCATTGACGGTCACACATTGTTTCCGATTACTCAGATAAGATAAGATAAGATTTGAAGAAATCTAGTGCCAATCCCCGAATTCCAAGGAACCTCAGTTTTTCGACCAATATACTGTGAGAGACACAGTCGAAAGCCTTGGAGAGATCACATAATGTTACTGATACATTTTTTCCACCCTCCAAGCCTTCCACTATGTCACCCACTACCCTATAAACTGCTTGGGTTGTACTACCTCTTCCTGATAATAACAGCAATGGGATATAATAGGTTCTTCAATCCTACTTTGTCAAGTATTATGAATAATTCCCATAAATCTCTCATTGGCTGAATAAACTTGATTACTAATAAAAGTAAATTATGATATTCTGTGATAATATCTATAATTCTTCACTATCGTTATATTACAATATGTTATTCATAACTTGTCAGTCATTTTTTGGCTAATGAATTCGTTCCTTAATAAAACGGATCTATTACTAATACTTCGAGTCCGGCCACAATACTCAAAATACTGACAGGCACAACAAGAGGAAGGAGCCATGGGTGTCGGCTTCATTCTGTTCTGACCAATGGCAGTAAATTAGGAAGGATAGTATCATTGAATGTAGCCGATAGTGATTCATTTATTCAATGATATTTCCGTTTAGGATCGAGCTCTATTCGAGATATTTCAATGCATGAATAACAAAACCATAACCTGTCAGAATGAAGCCAACTACCTTCTGCATTCCTGCTCCGAGTGCATTTGTGGTTATGTATGTTTTTGTTTACCAGTTTTACTTCTTCTTCTGTTTTTTTCATTCGGTAGCTAGTCGTTAGCTATTCGCTAGCTATATTCTTCACCATCAGCTATTTTCAGACTGGATTCAGAATGTACGTCACAGTTTGAGGCCCCGAAAATCATATAGAAATAGCTTTAATTTGAAAATGAAAACGACTTGGACTTTATCGGTCACCATTATGTACAGCGTGGACATAAAACTGGAGAGATCCAAACTTCCCCATTGTTACTGAGAAGTGTCAAGACGAATACCTGAAGAATTTGCGAGAGAAATATTTTCCATTTTCATGATGGAAACGGCAGCAGATTCGTTCCCGAAACGTCCATCAAAAATATGTGAAAATCTGATATTTTCTCTTTATACCTATATTATATCACTTCTCCAAACCTTTTTCAATACAAATTGTCACTGAAAAGCAAATGTATTTTTCTTTTAGGCTTTCTAATAGGAACATTTTTTAAATGCAGTGACATTTTGGGGCAAACCATCTGGTTTGTCCTCACTGTCGCCATACGTGTTTTTCCAAAACATTTTTTTGGAATACGTATTTTTGTCTTACAAACACGAATTTGATAACGACACTACCTGGAGCTAGATCCATTACTTCGTTCCCTTGTATTAGAAATAACTATTTACCTCACGAGCATACCTATAGGAAATGAGTCACCAACTGACCGGTACATTTTATGTTTCGTTTTATTTAAACGGTGTTTGTCCAGCTAATAATTGAAGATCATTTTGACAGGAAGTGTGACCAAATATTGACCGATGAGTACAAACATTCAGATGAATACCATTCCTTGAGCGATCTTGAACAAACAGTCTCCTTTCAAAGTCTATATACATTATGAAGACGACCGAGTTTTCAACGTACAAAATTATTGTGAAAATGTGATGCAAGTATTTTAATTTGGTACCTACATACCAGTGGCGTACCTACGGGGAAATAAAATAAGCTGAACTTTTCCTTATTTAACTCCACTCTATCCCCACAAGATAACGCTGAAATTCTGAATAGAGTTCTGAATGATCTTATCGACTGGTTTTCGTCTAATAGATTATTACTTAATGAAAATAAGACACATATGTTAATTGTTTCAATTGTCGGAAACAATGTGTATACGATGTTGTTGTATCGACATTCGTGTAACAATTTTATATAATATTCATATACATATATGATTTTCCACATTTTGTATACCAACTTTCCAACCAATATTGTAGCTGACAATCCACATTCAGCTCAGGTTGAACCAATATTCCACAAATATCATCATTCCATCAGTATTGTATTTTCAATATAATATATTCTCATATTGGACCAGTATTTTTTTACATTCACAAATCAGGATTCAGATAATTTGATGTTCTACCAGGGATACGTCAAGAATCACCCTGTAGTATTTTTTCTCAAAATGGCTCGAATTTATCCCCATTGACTAAAACATAGAACGAGACGCGGTATAATAATCATATCCGATAGTCAAACAGCCATTAAAACGCTCAGCTCTATATGGTTATCAGCTCTAAAATTGTTTGGGAATGACGATAAAACCTGATCGAGCTAGCCAACAGAAATACAGTGATCCTATTATGTATTCCGGGACATTCCGGAGTAGAAGGAAATGAAGTTGCGGACAAACTCGCTAAGAAAGGCGCTCAAACACCTTTTGTGGGGCTATTGAATTATTCTGTGAGATCATCAACAGAACTTTATCAGAAGAAACAGCTCAACAAAGATCAGACATCTGGGAAAATCTTCAAGGTCCCAGACTGGCTAAGATACTACTGGGTGTTTACATAATATAACCACAAGAGATCGAAGGACTCGGCTTAGAAGAGGAAGACAGATGCAGGTTCTGTGGGGAAGAGGAGGAAACCTTTATCCACATACTTACATCACCTTCCAGGGCCGGATTTAGAAAATACGGGCCCCTATATAGGCTCCATCGGTGATGCAGGCCCTGCATGGGCTCGTGGAGCATCGGGGGGTATGGAATACCCTCCAATGAGAAAATGGGACCAGGGGCCCTCGTCCGGAAACATTTGAAAAATATCGTTAATTCATAACACGTCAGGTTATTTTCGGCAAAGATAAGCCACAAGAGTAAACATAACTTCAACACTTGTGTACATTGCTAAGTCAACAAGAAAAGTACAAGTCAATATTAATTAATTCTTCTCTCTTCCTTAGATCATAAGTTCAAATAAATCCTTCTCTAAATATTAAATGTACTGCGAATCATAATTACTTCAGTCACTTCTTGCTGATTGGTTTCCGTCTAAGCTTCTCCATAATGAAAGGCGTTTATGATATTCGCATGGCTGACTTGTCTCAGAATGTTTTATACTAAGCAAGGCCAAAAAGTTTAGCCTGTCTTCTGACTTAGCGGTTCGGAGTCTGTTCTTGATCAGCATCAGCTCAGAGAATAATCTTTCTACAATGCCTGAAGGGAAGGTATACATTCTTAACGCTTTTTCTACATTAGGAAAACAATCTTTCACGTTCTTAACCAACATGAGTTGATGCATCCAGTGACATTATTTTGTATTTTTTTGGTTCCGGCCCCTAAGCGCGCACCTATGTCGCCTATGTCTAAATCCGGCCCTGGCAAGAAATCTAGGAGCACACAATAGAGGAGAAGCTACCCTCACCTAGTAACACCTCATATCCTGGAATTTCTGAGGGATATAGGACTAGAGAAATTGCTATAGCTACGGAAAACAACCTCATAGGGTATCTACAGCAGAAAAATGGCGCAAAAAGGATCTTTTAGGTCGCAGTCCACCCCCTTATAATAAAATACAAAACATAGGAAATAGGAGCCCTATCTTCTTCTTGTCTAGTTAATATACAAGGTGTTTTTGAAATTAGTGCATATATTCAACACATTAATATGATACAGTCTAAGGAATATTCCCATGATATCAGATTTTTTCTAAATCTTCTAATTAACAAGAAATTTCATCCCAAAAATTGAACAGAATACGAGAAAAAAATCAGCTACGCCACTTTAAAACAATTCAAATGATTGAACTCCGCGTGATTATGCTTACCGCATGAAAATTTGAACAGAGGTGACGTCAGATTTGCTACAGTGTAGAACTTTGGGTGGAAAAAAGGGTCTAACCTCAAATTTTATTTTGATCCCTAAATTTTTTTATTAGTGCTATTCGATAGTACCTACACGTCGAGCTTTCTCAGTGTTTGAAATATTTGCACTTATTTCAATGCCACCCTGTATATATCATCACTAGAAAAAAATACAAGAACTAGAAAAAAATTTAATTGGTGGAAAATTAATGGAATATGGGAAGATTGTTTGCAAAATGCGCATACGTTAAGAATCACCCTGTACAAATTTTGTCTCGAAATGTCTGGAATGTCTCGCCATTGACTCAAACACAAGATAATACTGATCCCTCGATGTCCTCAGCAAAAAAAAACTGCCTGTCTGTCTAACGGTCGCCTGATGCCTTCAAACTTCAAAATCCTTCAGCCGCATACACTGTGGCAATGCCTACTAGATCTAGGTGGCGCGCACCGCTGGAGGGGCGTTCCTTACCCGCTCCGAACCGGCGCTGGCTTAGTCGATGCTTTACTGTTTGAGAATAGAGTGTGCGCGCGCGTTTGTTTTCCTTCAATCCAAACACACACAAACACACACGACCAAAATCCAACCCGAAAACAATGTACGCGCGCCCCAGCAACAGGTGACCTAACCTCCAAAAAAACCGACAATCACCGTGTACCGTGTACCGCGATGCAAGAGAACACCGAAGAAGACTCGACTCAGGGCGACGAAACTAAGCCCGAGTGCTCGATCGCCACGATGAACCTGGCAGCCGCCATGTTCCAGGAGAACTTCCTGCAAAGGTCCATCCACAACGTCGCTTTCTCCCTGCAAAGCGCGCTGATGAGCTCGCTGCAGCAAGCCGCTTTGCTTCCAGCCAACTCCGCCGCAGCTGCTGCTCTCAACCTGCAAGCCTTAGAATCCTATTTCACCCTCCAAAGGCTCACTAGTGTGTCTGCCAATGTCAGCAACCCTCCCAGAAGGATAGACATCCTCAAAATAGCCGCTAATACCGCTAATATCGAGGAGGACAGCGACAATAACACTAGCTTAACGGAAGACGTTGATTTAGCTGAGGAGGTGGAAGAGGACTTGGCCCTTTTGGTTAACGATGAAACGAGCTACCCTTCCTCACCGCTGCCGACGGAAGATAAGGGGGTGTACCAGGAAGGGGCTAAATCTTCCACGGGGGCCATAGCCATAGTGAAGCCCAAAACGACCTCCAGGCCGAAGAAGCAGTTTATCTGCAGATTCTGTAGCAGGGAGTTCACCAAGAGTTACAATTTGCTGATTCACGAAAGGACGCACACGGATGAAAGGCCATATTCCTGTGACATTTGCGGGAAGGCTTTCAGAAGACAGGACCACCTCAGGGACCATAGGTATAACTCAATTTTTCGTTATTCAAAGCATGTTACATTGTCTAGGCTAGTTCTTCATGAAGTATTTGACAGATCATATAGCAGAAAATCTTGATCAAATCCTTATCTGCCTGATGAACTGTCAAAGCTTTGTTAATAAGACACCACGCCTTCGAGTCACTTGAGTTGCATGAAACGATGACATTATATCGTTATCTCAAAATGGAAAGTATATAATTCCACTTATTTTATGGTTGATGTTCCTAAGAAAAACAATAGTGAATAAGTATATAGAAGGGGACATTCCTCTCGTGACTACTATATGTCCACAAAAAAGTCTTGCATTATCAGTTCAACTTTACTTGCGTGAGTATTATAGACAACAGTTACAACATATTTCACAAATAACATTGGTTGAATCGAGGGTGGAATGTAGCATATGAACTCTAAAAGATTTTTCGCAGCTATCATATACTTGAGACTTTCCAGGACCTCAATAACTCCCAAAAAATTATGTACCTACACTGCGATGTTTGTATGCCGTGTAGAATAAGGTGTTATATATTTCAACCCCCTTCTCCCCAGAGGAACCCCCTCTACAATTTTAATGTTCAATAGTAAATAAGGGTCTTATCATAAACATTTCTGTAAAGATGATTCTGACACTAGCAGTGCAAAATTCGTGGAATTTGAAGTTTGAACTAAGCAAGATATTTTCGTTCGGATAGTTCCTTTTTCTGATTGTGGATAAGTTGATGTAAAAAATGGATTATTAAATATGTATTCACAAAAATAACCTTCAATTCAGTGACTACCACTACTCCTTTGTTGGTGATTCTTCCCGTCGACCTCGTATCAACGAGTAAGTTCAATGTTTTTGCATGAAATTGATCGTTAATGATACCTATTAATGACCAATTTCTCTATATTAATGCACGATTGAGGCATAGGCAACCAAACAAACACTGCCTCCATTCACTGATGTTTATGCTATAACTTAGGTAGGTATGTAAATCTGCATTTGAATCGAAAATATGGATTTCATCGTAGATTTTCTGTTAACGGTTCAGTTTTTCCTGTTTTTCTAACACAAGGAATTTATTTTCTATGTTAATTATTGCGACAAATGTCAAAAGTCACTAATGTCAGTGACAAGGCTACTGGGTGATTCTTAGTAATTTCCGGATAAATTAGCGAACCAAGTTTTCTTCAGTGTAGGAGACATGAGAAATATAGTCGACGGAAAAATTTTGTGACCAACTCGTATTTTAAAAGGCGATTAATGATCTCATTAATACACTAGTTGGTTGAATAATTATTTGATACCTGTCTGATGGCATCCAATCGCTATTATTTTTTCCAATTACTTATTCAAGACACGTCAATTGTTTTGAGAGATAATGTGGGATATAATCTCAAGTGCCTCCTTTTTCAATATCCGTATTTTTTTCGATGCTATCAATAGGTAATTGTTTCCTGATGGAATAAAATCGTGTTCGTTTATATCAAATTGCTATCATTATATGCTATATCAATATCGATCAATATTAATGAAAACAATCTGAGTAAAAAGGAAAAATAGTTACCAAGATAATTACCGAGATCATCCATAACATAGGAATTACTGATATTCGAAGATTTAAGAAAGGATCTGAAGAAAACTATTACCTCTTTAAAAAAACCCAACTTCAAGAATCACTGGATACTGTCATTATATGATACAAGTATAGATATACCAACCTAATCTATATGACATTGTTAATTGATACTATATGCATTTTATAATTCCACCTCCAACCTGTGATAAAAAGATAATTATCAAGAGGTAATTATAGTGGAGAAAATCGAAGCAATTTCAACTATAATTTACCATTTATAAAACGTCTCATTAATAAATTGATCACGGCACTTATACAGAGATGTTTTCATCTCAAATTCTGTTTACCACCAGCTGCTTTACTCAGACTGTCTGACGTCACGTAGCAGGTAACAAAATAAATGTACGTCACACAACATCAATAGAAGAACGTCATAAATCTTTGGACCACCTCAAACACTTTCAACGATAGATAAAATTGTAGATTATTGTAGATGGTGTCAGGTTCAACCTATCGAATTTCGGGAAACAAAAGAGAATGACAGAAATGTTGGAATTGTGATACGTTGATGGCTTCGTTCCAATTTTTTGATTGGGCCTTCAAAATTTCACAATTTACTATACAATGCAATCATTCATTTTAATAATAGGCAATTATATCGGCGACCTTTCACTTTTCTATCGATACTTCCACGGGAAATGTTCTTCGGAAATCTCTGCTATCATCCCTTCACTAGCAATACCCGAACTAGACAAGCCCAGTCAGCACATCCTTTCGTTGTCAACCTAGAAAGATGTCGAACAGCACTTTATCAAGACTCCTTCATCCATAGAACTGCTAGGCTCTGGAATTCATTGCCTGTGGAAGTATTCCCAACAACATATGATCTCCAAAAGTTCAAAAAAAATTCCAATACCTACCTCCTGTCCCTATCCTCCCTAGGAACGCACGATGTTCTTTGAACATTATAGGGATTCCCTTTCGTGCGCTTCAAGCGATAAAAAAATATATAAAATCATTGTTGTATTCGGAATCGATGCTAGGTTCGCAATTTCCCGCAATGGGAATGGCCGTTACCTATCGATATTGCTTACCTTGGTGTTATCGCACGGTAAGCGGTTTTTACAAATTTTAAAGGAACTGCCGTCTATGAACTCCGCTGATCTGATCGAAACTACAATGTACTGGATGTTTTGAGTTTAATTATCTTGAAATAAAGGAGAGTTTGAGTAATGTTAATCCATAGGCATATGTCCTTCTTGAAAATGTCCAAAATTCAAAACAGAATAATTACTGGTAGCTGTACTGGGAGTTATTGAATGTGGTGAACACAGATCAAATTTCGAATAAATATCTAATCACTACTTGAGACTCCGCTCAAAGGTTTTTTCGTCTTAAAGTGGTTGGATGAACATAAGGAGAAAATAATGATATAATTCTATAATGAGTTGGTACCTATGCTCACGATAATTTAATTCATTCAATTTTTTGTTCTCGTTCAGTTAGAATATTAAAATCTTTATATCATTTCACAAGCGAGCCATTATCTTCAGATTAGTCAGGCTACATTTTAAAGGCAGAATGCTATAATAATAATTATTGTATTGTGGTAAAGCCATTTGGTTGATATTTATAGAGAGCCGTTTTTAATGATGACAATATTATTATTAAAAACTGAAGAAACAAGGTAGACATGTCATTAAACCTGTTTGATGTATTTAAAAAGCTGGTCAGACAGCATTCGAGAGGAAATTTTATTGGAGTAAAAAGACACTTCCATAGTTATTGAAACTCGAGAAATTGGGGGCAAACTTGGAGCGCCACCGCCCAAACTTTGAAAACGAACGCTTTCGTCTTACCGGCAAAACTTCGAATTACCAAAAAGGGATTTCATTTGTTCGTACAGGGTGCGCTTCTTAAACAGGAATCCCCTCTTAACTCTTTCGTTTTCAGAGATATGAAAAAATGTTTAATGAAAAAGTTGTGTGAAATGTGAAGTTGTTTCATATACAGGGTCATTTGTTTTTCCAGAAAGGATATCAACTTTGATTTTTTCAACGGAACACCCTATATAATTTATGACATGTCGATAGAGCCTTTTTTTCTGATTCCAAAAATATACCGGGTGTCCCAGTATACCTGTTCCAATGAATTATCTCAGTCATTTGGAGAAATAAAAATTCGAAAATTTCATGATCTCCAATTCGTTCAAGGAAGCTTCAACTGAGAAAAACACCAATTGAAAGTCACTTCCGCTTTGACCGAAAGTGACTCTAACTTTTTTATTTCAAATAGTACCCCGTATATTTCTTACAAATTTTGATTTCTACTCAAAATTACCGTTCCTACGATGTATCACACATCGTATTTGAAATTTGATTTGATGGAGAAAACGACAATTGGAATTTCAAATTGAACGAATTGCAGTAGGCTTTTTGTAATCTTGATTTCGACTTCAATAATGATTTCAAATTATCAGAATTGTAGTAGATCATGTAATTTTCAAATTTTCATCTTTCGAAATGGCTGAGATAATCTATTGGACCAGGTATACTGGGACACCCGGTATATGAGTTGCATATTTGGATGAGAAATAGTTCAGTTATTGATGATCAAAATTTACCAAAATACCGCATTAGGAACCTTCTTTTCGTTAGTCAAATATAGTGGGCCTTGAAATAACGTTTATATATTGTTCAAGCTCCATGGAAACGTCATAGTATTATTTATTATGATATTGAAATCGTTCAATCTCAATACAAAAAAATATGAATAGACAGTTTGAATGGAAGATTCGGTATTTTGGTAAACTTTGAAAAAAGTTCTATCGTCATGTCAGAAAATATATAGAGTGTTCCATTGAAAAAATCAAAGTTAATGTCCTTTCCGGAAAAACGAATGACCGTGTATATGAAGCAACTTCACAAAATTGAAGTTTGGGTCGTTTCAGACAACTTTTTAATTCAATATTTTTTTACATCTCTGAAAACAAAAGAGTAAGGGGGGATTCCATGTTAAGAAGCGCACCCTGTACACCAGAATTATATATATCACACTTCACACAAGGAAGTCCGAGGAACTTCAAGGAATTCCAGGGAATTCCAAGGAAATCCAAGGAATTCCAAGAAATTAAAAGGAACTCCAAGGAATTCCAAAGAAATCCAAGGAATTCCAAGGGAATCCAAGGAATTCCAAGGAAATCCAAAGAAATCCAGGGAATTCCAGTTGTCCAGTTGTTCCCTCGGGTAATACCTAATTATTGAGGGGGAAACAACTCTTTAAATAGGTGTACACCATGGAATTTTAAGTACTTTGAGTATCATTTTTAATACATTAAGTACAATTTATTAAGCTTTTAAGTCTCGTTTTAAGTACTTCAGTATTTAAGTACCTGTTAACAGTACCTTAAGTACCAGTTTTAATTATTTTAAGTACTTATTGATTACCAGATATTTAAATATGGTGTACACATTTTGGGTAGTTGTTTCCCCCTCGTTAATCATTATCTTTCATGAATCTTCGGTCATCATCATAATATGATGAATCGACCTTGTAAACCAGAGTTTACACATTCCTACAGACAGTTGAAATGATTATTATTATTGTCGATACAAGTTGATTCTGATTATCGATCTTATCAGACATGATTTATTTCATTTGCAACACTACCAGTGAGATCACCCGCTAAATTATGGTTATACAAGACCAATAAATATTTTCGGACACATATATATTCTTTAAACCATAATATATACATACCACGACCATATATGAGTAATACTGCATACAGGGTGTCCACTTTTTTATTGCTCACTATATCACATATTTTTTGTAATCTGTTCTTTATTATGAAGACATAAGTGATTTTTCGAATTGATGGGTCAAGTCATTTTTCATGAAGACTGTACAGTATAAGTCTTCAACAAGTCAATTTTTCAACATTCGATCAAAATTCGAAATATTGAGTTCAGTGAAAAAAAACATACCAAGTGCAAAAATCCCCACCTAGATGAAATGAAAAAACCCTGGAATTTAAATAAACTGGTCAACATTGATAACGTCGTGGTCCAGAATATGGCCTGAATTCAAAGTAGAATAACTCTCGAATTTCCTTACCAATTTGAAATCAGTTTTTATCGATGATTAGCCTAATCTCTTGACTGTTTGTTGTGGCAATATGAGACTCCTGTAATTTCAGGTAGCATAGCTACAGGGTGATAATTGAATGGGTGTAAAATTGCATCGTGGTCTTCACCTTACCGTTTGAACAGATCATTTTTTTTATTTTCTTTCTCACCTGTATCCTCTTGATGCAGACACCAGACATCCTCATGAAGAAGTAACACTCCATTATTTCACTAGTAACACAGAGAAAATTATGTTTCATCTACTGAAGACTACAAAAAGATTTTTCGCAGTCGAGTTCTGTTAAACAAAATAAAACCTTCCACTATGCCAACCATATCCGAAATATGTGAACTTGAATAAAGTCTTGATGCAAAAGCATTCTTCAAGATTTCTACCATTGAAAATGCGATGAAAATTATGGAAAAACTACTATTTAGGGTCAAATATCTCGAAAAGTTTTCATTGTACGCGTTCATTCATCAAAATTAATAACCAATATATTTTATCAGTGGCGTAGATAAAGTAAGAGCATCCCAATATAGCTCGTCACTGAGCGAAATGACCAAAGTAACTGTATCTCAGAAAATTGAAGTTTTTTAAAGAAATCAGAGAAAAATCTAGGTTCGTTTGAGTTATTCCTAACAGTTTTTATGGTCTAACTTCAACACTCAGTATCTCTATTTCCCATCAAATCACCTGATGTGATGCTTTGTCTGTTGGATTTCCTCACACCCTGTATAGGTATTTCCCGACGTTCCTTGAATTAGCTTTCGTGGAAGACAATCATTCATACATACTTTCTCATATATACCGATGCGAATTCACTCCTACAAATGTTGCCGCCTCAAATCATATTTTAACGCAATTAAATGTCATCACGAGATATCGAGATAAAGTAACCCCCACTGGCTCGCGCAGCAGTATTTTCAGCGTACTTTGACAGACATTTATAACGAAGCACCAACAAATATCTACCTATATGGTCGTTCGTCGCCGCTTTATAAGAACGAGCGTGTGTTCGTGTGTTGGAAGATTTTTCTTTTCTGAAAAATGAAATATACCTAAATGGTTACCGTCCGGACATTAATCAGAAAGTTGATTCGCGACGGTAGCGTTTTCCTGGAAATATATGTACCGGGTGTTTGCGGAAGTGATTTCAACGGGAAAGGCAATTGACTTGCTTTAATGCAGGATTAGAAGTTGAAAATATTCACAAACATAATATTTTGAATGAGCACTCTGTATGAGCTTCACATGTGATGTCCTAAGTTGGTTTTTATTCTTGGACATCTAACTTTTAATGAGAAAACGCGGATAAGACAGACGTTTAGTGTCCTTGGATTTCCTTGGATTTTCTCGGAATTACTTGGATTTCAACGGATTTCCTTGGAATTCCTTGGATTTCCTTGGAATTCCTCGTATTTCCTTGGAATTTCTTAGATTTCCTTGGAATTCCTTGGATTTCCTCAGAATTTCTTCAATTTCTTCGGAATTCCTTGGATTTCTTCGGATTTCTTTGGAATTCCTTGGATTTCCTTGGAATTTCCTTGGAATTCCTTGGATTTCCTTAGAATTCCTTCAATTTCCTCGGAATTCCTTGGATTTCTTCGGATTTCCTTGGAATTCCTTGGATGTCCTTGAAATTCCTTGGATTTACTTGGAATTCCATGGATTTCCTTGGAATTCTTTGGAGTTCCTTGGAATTCCTTGGAATTCTTTGAATTTCTTGGAATTCCTTCAATTTCCTCGGAATTCCTTGGATTTCTTCGGATTTCCTTGGAATTACTTGGATTTCCTTGGTATTACTTGGATTTCCTTGAAATTCCTTGGATTTCCTTGGAATTCCTTGGATTTCCTTGGAATTCCTTCAATTTCCACGGAATTCCTTGGATTTCTTCGGATTTCCTTGGATTTTCTTGGAATTCCTTGGATTTCCTTGGATTTCCTTGGAATTACTTGGATTGCCTTGGTATTACTTGGAATTCCTTAGAATTCCTTCAATTTCCTCGGAATTCCTTGGATTTCTTCGGATTTCCTTGGAATTAGTTGGATTTTCTTGGTATCACTTGGATTTCCTTGAAATTCCCTGGAATTCCTTGGAGTTTCTTGGAATTCCTTGTGTAGAGTGGAGTGGGTTAAGTGGAAGAATATTTCTTGTTATGCTCTCTCGTGGAACAAAAAATAAACTTCGCCCTTTACTTCTTCAATATGTATTTACTCAATTTAATTTCTGTAATAATTTATAGAAGTAATAAAGACGATTTATTATTATTATTATTATTATTATTATATTCTGATGTACAAACAACTGGAATCCCTTGAAATTCCTGGAATTTCCTTGGAATTCCTTGGATTTCTTCGGATTTCCTTGGAATTCTTTGGATTTTTTTGGAATTCCTTGAAATACCTTGGAAAATAGGCACTGTAAAACGAAAATATACGAAAACGACCCGAATCTTATTCGCAATCTCTCTCATTCATTCCAGATACATCCACAGCAAAGAGAAACCCTTCAAATGCACCGAGTGCGGCAAAGGCTTCTGCCAATCACGCACCTTGGCCGTCCACAAGATCCTCCACATGGAAGAATCCCCCCACAAGTGCCCCGTGTGCAGCCGGTCCTTCAACCAACGGTCCAACCTCAAAACCCACCTGTTGACGCATACCGACATCAAGCCGTACAACTGCTCGGCGTGCGGCAAAGTGTTCAGGAGGAACTGCGATTTGAGGAGGCACGGCCTCACGCACAACCTGGGCGCAGGCGCGGGACAGAGTTTCAGCATAGACGCCATCATCGGCGTGCCGACCGAGGGCAAGTGATGAGCGATGAGCGCCCGAGTCGGCAGTGGAGACGATTCGTAGAGACAGGGGTTTTTCCGTTTGACGAACTTTTCAGGCCAATCCTTTTCTTGTCGTGAAACTTTCAAAGCCGGTAGACCAGAAGAATTATAATTCAAAAGAAGAAATAGTATTGAAAAGGAATCTTCTCTGATATAATTATGAACATGGAATAGAAATACATTAAGAACTCGCATTCTTCATTCAACAGTAAACAACTACTTTCCTGGCTATATGCCACGACGAACATTGAATTATATCTATTGAACACACACGATAAGAATTTGAAAACAAAATCTTCTGATGTAGAGCATTTGCATCCTCCTTCATATTAAAATATGCAGATAATATCATTCTGAATATTCAACAGAAAACAACTACTTTCCTGGCTATTTGCCACGTCGAACATTGAAGCTTTTGTAACTCATTGCTCAGAGGTTGATAGCCAAATTCAAGCGTTTGCTTATGGTGAGAGGGAACATATTTTTCAAAGTCGAATTTCTTTTATGGTCCATCTTTTCAACTTTCATTAGTCAATTCAGTAAACACCTTGTATATCGCAATACAAAGATACGCCTACACGCTCAAGCGAAGTCAATGTCTTGATGACCAAAATCCTATTTTTTCTGAGGCATGCGTACTTTTTCGATTTAAATAACAATTTCATCAAAAAAAAGCCTTGCAGGCCTATTTTCCACTTTTCATTTGATAAGGGTGAGTCATTTTGTGTCATTGTGTTGGCAGCAACTACTGTCAAATTCAGTGTCCCTTGTCAAAAATTTCAGGTTAGTAACTCTAAAGAAGAGAAGAAATCGAGAAGCAGTCCATTATAGGTCGGGTGCACGATGACCGACCCTGCAGGTAAAATATTGGAACACAACCTCACTCTTCTGTGAATTATTGAAACACAACCTCACTTTTTTATTTGTTACTGAGGAATCAAAGGACTGAAATAGTATTTCAAAATATTTTGGCATACGAATCGTGTTTTTCGCGCTATTCATTAATTCAAACATGCCTTCGCATTGTGCTGTTGTACAATGCACAAAAAATGCAGCGAGAGACGAAGGAATATGATTTTTTAGGTAAATAGTAATCTCACATAGTTTTTATTATGAAATATTGTCATTCGCTCTACCGAAATTCCTTCTGCCACTTCTGCAGTACAAGCTAATACTGCTAATAGATTGAAAATGTCTACAGCACACACGATCATATTTCGTCAGCATGTTAGACCAGTTCTCCCGTTTGATTGCAAGAATCAAATCTTCTTGCATTATTTCAGAAATTCCTATTAGCTCCTATTGTAGAAGGAATTCCGGTGAGAAATCGGGGAAATTACCAAATTTCAAAAATGAAAACTATATGTGAGTGACTATAATAGTAGGTACTTACTTGCCGCTGCAGTTTTTGTGCATTGTACAACAGCACAATGTGATAGCATGAGCGACTCAATGAATAGCCGAAAAATACGATTCCTATGCCAAAATAATTGTGAAACAGCACTATTTCATTTACTTGTAAATAAGAAAAGTGAGGTTGTGTTTCAATGTTGTGCCTCCAGGGTCGGTCATCTGACAGTTCTTGCACGCAACCCATTAGCTTGTATTGCAGAAGTGGCAGATGGAATTTCAATAAGGAATGACAACATTTGATAATGATAACTATGTGAGATTACTATTTACCTGAAAAATCATATTCCTTCGTCTCTCGCTGCATGTTTTGTGCATTGTACAACAGCACAATGCGAAGGCATGCTTGAATAAATGAATAGCGCAAAAAACACGATTCGTCTGTCATAATATTGTGAAAAACTATTTCAATCCTTTGATTCCTTTGTAACCAAATAACAAAGTGAGGTTGTGTTCCAATAATTCACAGAAGAGTGAGGTTGTGTTTCAATATTTTACCTCCAGGGTCGGTCATCGTGCACGCGACCTATTATAACCTTTCCCAAGGTTTTTAAGGTTAGACTATAGTCTTTTTCTCCATTCCTTCTAATTTTTTGTGTACCAACAGGAAACTTTCCATATTTTCACACTAATGTGATTGTGATTGGTCTGAAATTTCGTCTATGGAAACCGTCCCTGGTCATGTGAATAATTCTCGCAGTCGACTAGGCTTCGAGAAACAATAGAAGGTGGAACCTCTGCCACGTCGGAATGTCATTCCGTGTTTCTTGTGACACAGAACACGCAGTGGAATATTTCGAGTGACGAGACAAGACATTGTGCGAGGCGAAATCGAATGACTTGTCATTCGAAAATGCATGATGGATTGCCTGTGGCTTGATATGGAACGTACAGGGTGGGTGCGTCTCTTAAAATTGAACCCCCTCTTAGCTTTTTTGTTTTGAGGGACATGAAAGAATGTTGAATGAAACAGTCGTTTGAAACGACCCAAACTTTTTTCTGTGTAGTTGTTTTTTATACGGGGTCAGTAATTTTTCCAGAAACGATATTAACTTTGATTTTTTTTAATGAAACAACCTATATATTTTTTAACATTTCTTCTGATTTCAAATATATTGTATAAGTAGAATATTTTGATAAAAAATTGTTGAGTTGATAATGATCTTCTATTCAAACTGTATCATTTTGTATTTTGAAAGACTTCAATTTCATAACGAAAATTAAAAAAATTCATTGGGTGTTCCATTGAAAAAAACATAGTTCATGCCCCTCCCGGAAAAACAAATGGCCCTGTACATGAATAACTACAAAAAGTTGAAGTTTGGGTCGTTTCAAACAACTTGTCTATAAATATTTTTTCATATACTTATCCTAAAACAAAAAAGTAAAGAGATGGTTCAATTTTAAGAGGCGCACCCTGTACTCAGAATTTTTCAGCTATAGAATATAGGAAAGTACAGATATTATTGTAAATAAAATTATGTGATTGTGAAACAAGTGATGAGAATCGAAATACTGATATAAAATAAAATGATTTCTTGAGGTACATTTTTGTTTCATCTAACTAACTGTCAAACAAACCCATAATCGTCCTTCAACGGATTCGACGTGTTCCATTATTTCAGAAGGGCTGAAAACAATGGCCAGAATGAGGAAGAAATTTCAATATTACATGAATGACAAAAATCAGAATGTATTTCAGAACATTTTTATTTTCGAAATCCAGATCTTTCAATTTTTTTAAAAATATCCTTCCTTCTTTCCCAATACATATTCCGAAAACTATTATTGAATTTTGGAATTAAGTGTATTGGATAAAACTACTAGGAATTATAAAAAGATTTTTAAGCTGGAAGAATATGGTGGTCCATTCAAAAAATGGAACTTAAAATTCACGAAAAAAATAGAATTCATCCATTTAATATAACGACTATAGCAAGATATACATACCTACAGCTAATCTTAGGAAACCAAAAAAATATAGGGCGGTTAAGTAAATATGTTTTGCAACCAAAAAGTCCCCATTCATAATTGATGTATGAATAAATGATTAAATAAACATTCAATTAATTAGTTGAACAACAACGATCCTGACATCTCTGATCCCTGCTCGGGTGCCATAATCATGTAATTCTCTATACAGTGCCCGTCTAAACATTTTATATACTTCTAAATTCAATAGTTTTTGAGATATAAGCGTTTGAAAATGACCAAAATGTCACTTCTCAAACGTTATATTTCGAAAACTATCGAAATAATTTGGGAGTAAAGTGTATTATTTAAAATTGTTAAGAAATATCAGAAGATGACGAAAATGGAATAATATACGGGGTGTTCAGTTGCGTTTAGTCGCCATTTCGAAATTTGAAGTTGCCATTTTTCCATAAAAAAGTAGATTTTCATCTCCTATTCGAGCCCACCAAGAATTAGTAGAGGAGAAGGGCTTTAGAAGATTCAATAATCCCCTCGATGATTTGAGGTTACAACAATCCAACCGTCACCCGAGCACGATCCTGAAAATTCGAACTCTGAGCGAAAATCTAGCAAATTTGCAAGCCAGTGAAAATGATTTCTCGATTAGGTACCGTTCGCTCTTGAAAGCTCGAAACGGTGCAACCAGTGGAAAACGCTACAAGTGATTCTATCACGTAAGGCTATCAAGTATATGGGTAAACTCTTTTGCATAATAATCAGGGGAACCGTTTGTGCAAATCGTTCGAAACGAGGAGAAAGCCGCCGTTTCCATTCAGGTCAATCTACCGCCTCCGACGAATCGGTGGCTCATTCGCCGTTTAGAACGAATCGAACATATAACGTGAGAGATCTTGCCTCTGAAGAAAAGTCCACGTTATGGTCACGATTCTCCAGCCCAGCGCACGAGAGAATGATCCTTTCTCATGCCAGAGGCCGACGGTGACCTCACCTCGGGGTGTCGAATTTCCTCTTTCCTCGGATCGTTTTCAGGTCCTCACGGTTGTCCCGAGGGACTATCTTTGGTACAGGGTGGTGCCCAACATACCAAAAACAAACACATCGATAAATCAACTCCGGCACGGAAAACGCTATTTGACGACGACGTGAGTCATTTTGACATCGATAAAAAAGGATTTATCATTTTCTATTTACAATGTAAAATCTTTATACCGCATTTATAATGTAATCATTATATTTTGGAATAAACAGATACATACATACCTTTTTTATCGCTGACAAACTGCCTGCTCCTTTGATCTATTAGCTATTTGTCACTCCATTGGAGTCAAAGCCAACTATGGTTTCTATTTGAAATAATGTTGGCTTTGGTATCAGACAATTGATACGTGATATATTTGTTTGGCAGATGTATCTCTTTCTAAGTTAAAAAGTGCCTGCGGAAAGTTTTTTCCGTTTAGAAAAATATCCAAAACAAAAATGTTATGGCAGATTATCGAAATCGGTCAAATGTCAATTTTTGCCTATATCTCGGAAACGGTTAGAGATATCGAAATGCCGTTTTCGTTTCACAAAAATCGAGCTCTAGACTTCTTGGTCAGTATCTCTCTAGCTGTTCAGGAAATAGGAAAAACTGCCTACATTTGA